AGTAGTATTTATAAAAAAATTAATTTACTACAAGACTACAAAAAATTTATAATCAATTAAAATTATTAAATAAAAAAATTGAATAAAACTATATTAAGTTTTATTAAAATGATATTTTAATAAAAATAATAAGATTTAAATCTTACCCGATCTCTTAACATCTTACGGCTGCATGATTAGGATTGTCAAAACAACTCTTTGTTCGCGAACTGCTAGTGTTCTTCTAGCTAAACAAACGAGTCGAACACGAACATACATTTTGTATTCGAAATATAAACGAGCTGAACTTGAACAAAGATTTTTTTTAACGAGTCGAACAGGAGCTGAGTCTGGCTCGCTCGTGTTCAGCTCGTTTACACCCCTAATACCAACTAGAATTATCACATCACATCCAAAATATCATCATTTTAATTTGAAAACAGGAATATACTTTTTCACGGATAGGAAAGATGTTATGTAAATAAAAATTGAAGTTTGTGTTACATATGTAAGTACATAAGAATTAACCGGTATTTATGTAAATCTTCTTTTTTTCTTTTTGAGTACAAGAATCATCGAAGGAGAGCTGCATATAGGATCTGGTTCCATGTATCAGGAAGTCCGGCAAGACACCAATGGCTACAGTCCACTCCGGAGCGGCCTCCATTGAAGGAAGAAGGGTGGGCATCTTTCCTTAGCTGGGAAAGAAAGGTGATATCAAGCAGATAGACAGGCTTCTTTATACTCTCCAACACATTACTAACTACGCTTTGCTGAGGAAGAGATCCACCTGGATACGTTGATCCGCTTACAGGCCCTGTTTGTTCGCCACAATCTTTAGCTTCAGCTTCTCCCCATTCCTTCCCTCTGATACACAATAATTATAAATTAAAATAATATATGTCACTTTACCAATGCATGAAAATGAAAATAATGTTATTTTTATGTGATATGGAAAATATCAATTGTAATTTGTAAAAATTAAAGTTAGATATGTAAATTCATAAGAATTGGATGGCATATATGTAAAGGCTAAAAAGAAATTTATGCATCATCATTCTTCATCGTAATGCTGGCCTTAGTTATTCTATTATTTGCAATTAGCACTAGAAAGACTACTTTTTAAATTATCGGTGTGTTAGTGTCAAATTGTGGAGCTTAGCTTTTGTCCTTCGAATAAAATGTTCTACGGAGAACTGATCTCTTGTTAGGAATATCCAATAAATGTATTTGCATGTTATTTTATTAAAGGATTTCTGAGAATTTTGCTACATGTTTAAGCTGTTCTAATTTTATCTTGATAACTATGCATGTTAGTATTATAAGAACTATGAATTTGTAATTCTTCATAATTAAATCATTATAATTTTCTTAGAAATCGCAATACAAAGTTGCCATAAATTTGGCGAGCATATGTAAAATTTAGCTATTTTTATGTTTTAATTTTCCATATTTTTTTTTTTTGTCTTAGAAATCGCAATACAAAGTTGCCATAAATTTGGGGAGCATATGCAAAATTTAGTTTATTTTTATGTTTTAATTTTCCATATTTTTTTTTGTTTTTTTTTTCTTTCGCTTTTGATATTTGAAGTGGGGTTTGCTTATTTCTCAACAGCCTGAGGCTTTATAAATCTATTTTGCATCGGTTCTATCTATTTTATCTATTATATAATCATTTTTTTAGACAATATTTTCTGCATCAATTTTTTTCATTTTTTTTACTGGGGCATATTCTGTCTTATATTATACTTCTCTATTTTGTACAATTTTTATTCAAACACTTTCAATTAATGTGCTGAGTGTGGAGTCTTTTTGCATGCTAGTTGCAGCTCGCTGAGCTTTCCGGCACCTACAGACATTCCAGGGTCCCAATGGGCGCGCCCAGATGCCTAGGGTCATCCCAATGCTCCAATCTAGAGGACTGGGCACCCCTGAGCCCGCCAACTGCAAGGCGCAACAGTGTCGCAGTTTTAGTCGTTTAACAGAGCACTCACCATTCAAGCATCTAGAAGGGGGATGAAAAAGCCAAGATTCATGACTTCAACCAAAGAGAGGAAGAAAGCAGAGTCTGAATGTGCCGCAACAGCGCCGGAGCGATTTGTACATAGTTTAGGATTTAAATCCTTGTTTCATGAAAGATCATACTCTCTCAATGTGTATTTTTGATATAGCGTAACAGATGCAGATTGACATTTGTGTCAAGAGGGTGTATTTTTTTGTGTACCTTCTATTGAGAAATCAAGAGATAAAGAAGCTTGAATTGATGTAGTTTCAGAGATGTACAGAGTGGATTTGAGTTGTGAAATTATGTACTATTCTCCTTCTATTGTGGAATTTTTAGTTTGGCGCGGATCCGTGCTTTTCTCCCATTCTCTGATGTTTTCATGTTAAATATTTATGTGTTTTTCTAGATTTCCTTATTCAGCGCTTCTATTCAATCTACTGTTTCGGATCCCTCGAATTAGTGTGTTATTTTGCAATGTGGTTTTGCTTATGAATTGATCAAGTCCTAAGTTTTCATATAAACAAGTGGTATCAGAGAGGAGTGTTTTAAAGAATTTTGATTCAAGTTGGAGCAATGGGCAATGAAGCGAGGTACAAGGTAGAGAAGTGCAATGGTTTGAACTATGCAAACTGGAAGATGCAAGTGGAAGAATTATTGAATCAAAAGAAAATGTAAATGTCACTGGAACGAATCACCAATAAGCTTGAATCTCTAACTTTGGAAGAACGGGAAGTGCATGATCGAGCAACCCTATGTTTGATTATTCATTCACTTTCGTTGTTCTCTGCTTTCAACATAGTAAATGAGAAAACTACATTGCATCTCATGACAACTTTGACAAATATGTATGAAAAATATTCAGCTTTAAATAAAATTTTTCAGATGAAGAGATTATTCAAATAGAAGATACTGAAAGAATGTTTAGTGGTTGAAAATTTTAAAATTTCAACACTACTAAAAACCAGCTGTGTTATGTGGGTATTAAGTTCAATGATGAGGTTAGTACACTATTAACTCTATCTTTATTACCAGATAACTAGGATGAATTGTTCACAACAATAAATAATGCTTCAGGTAATATATTGTTAAACTTCAATGACATTAGAGGGATGGTATTGAATGAAGAAGTTTGAAAGAAAATTACAAGCAGTGAATCTTCACGTTTTATGTTAAATATTAAGAACAGATGAAGGAATATGAACATAAATATACGAAAAGTCATATTTATGTTTAGAAGATAAGAAATTCTAGGTCGAAAGGAAAAATGATAGAGGTGAATGTTGGAATTGTCCAAATAAAGGTTATTTCAAGAAAGAAGACAAAACTCCAGAGAAGCCTTACAGTGGAGACCAAGAAATGAGTCTCTTTGCAAATGTCTTAAAAAGTGAAATCCAAAGTGACTACCTAACTTTATCTCTACTAAGTACTATTTTCTTGGATAATAGTTTACGGTGCCTCTTTTCATGCATGCCTCAACAAAGAGGTGTTTAGAAACTACAGTTATAGTGATTTAGGAAAGGTTTACTTAGAAGATAGCAAAAATGTTGCATCAAAGGAAAGGGTAATGTTGATGTCAGGTTGTCAAATGAAACATTCTAGAAGCTCAGTAAAGTTAGACATGTTTCAAATCTGAAGAAAAATATGATCTTCATGAGAAAGCTTGTAAAGGCATGGTACATGACTATTTTCAAAGGCTATTCATGAAAGTTATCTAGAGAGGCAATGGCCACGACTTGGAGCAACATTGAAGGAACACTTTACCTGATCAATGAGATTTATGAATCCAATGGTGTGGCTGGATCCAAGACTGATATTGTTCTTAGGCATCACAAGCTTAGCCATATTAGCCAAAATGTATGAAGTTCCTACTCTTTAAAAATAAGTTCTATGGTTTCAAGTCTATAGAGTTAGATTTTTATGAAGACTATTTATATGGCAAGTAAAATAAGTTTTATTTCTCTAAAGGTGGGTCAATAATGGAGTTCTATAAGCTAGAGTTAGTACATACTGGTGTTGGAGCCATACTCTAGTTTAGTTCATTAAAGGTTTGATACACCAAAATAATATACTATTTTAAGTACATATTTTATGCTTATTTTTAGTGACATTGCACTTTTAAAAAGGGTATTTTCATGTTTTTGTTGCATGAATATCATTTTTAGGTGTTTGGAGATAAAATAGCAAAAAGGACAAAATTTGGAGCCAAAACAACGAATTTTGGAATTTTTGGCTCATGATGCACCCGATTGGTGCATGATGCGTCGTTTGACAGAGACTTGGTGCATGATGCGCTAGAGACAATTTTTTGCAGATTAAGGTGGTTCGAGATGAATTTTGCATAATTTTCAAAGAGACACTTGTTCTACAGACCTATTGGAGTAATTCAATGCATTTAGACAGTTTGGAAAGTTCTTTTATGAAGGGATATGTCTCTTAGATCAATTGACACATCTTTTGAATTCAAAAGAATTAACTTTTTGAGGGAATTTTGGAGGAAATTTTGAATTCCTTATGAAAGGAGGTAGCCCAAAATAAAAGAAGAAGATTTCAAGGAGTTGAAGGGGGGACGGAAAGGCACAAAAGTGGGGGTGGCATGAAAGGCAAGGAGAGAAGAAGAGGAGATTTTCTTCTAGGGTTGTAAGAGGAGAGGGAAGGTGAGAAATTTCTTCTTCATTACACTTGAAAGAGAGAATTGAGTGTGCTCGTAAAGAGACAAAGGCTTGGAGAGAGCTTCTAGGGATTTGTTTGGGAAGGATTGTGAGATAAGTTGTCTTTTATTTTTTTTATTTTTATATATGAGATCCGTATTTTTTCGTATCCTTCTCATGAAGTCTGAGTGGTCTTCTATATCATTCTCCCTACTTTGAGATATGGTTTTGTGAAGAATTGATTTTGTTTTCTAATTGTTGTGAAGAATTGATTTTGTTTTCTATAGTTTTAAATGTCAATAATTTGTGATGATTTGAACTCTGATCTTTATTTACTTTTTGATCTGGCCAATTGAAATATTAAAATATGTTGAGAAACATATGATCTGAAAAGTGGTATGATTTCTACAACAAGGGGGATAATCACATTTGATTTCATGAGAGAGTATGTTATCCATGGAATTGAGTGCAAATAAATAGAGAAATATCTTTGTTGGACGCAAAATTGGAGATTTTAAGGTGACAGATTAAAATCCCCAATTTGGTATAGTTGATTGGAAACTGATGCAGGATTGTTAGCGATCAGGGGAGGGAGTAGTGAGAGCTTTGGAGTGGCAACAGATATCCTCCCAGCCTAACCACAGTTAGGGACCATACTCAGGATTAGTCAATATTCTTTATAGCACTTGGAAGAGGGTAAAGAATAGGATTGCTCCTATTTGGCACAAAATAGTTATTATATATATTTTCAAAATTATTTCAATTTCTTCACAATTCATATACTCATTGTAAAGGGGAATGATGCTTTCTTAAATTTGAATATTCCATAAACAAAAACCTTGTTTAGTTTTCGTAATTTTACATTTGAAAGTTTAGTTTTTAGTTGTTGACCTTACTTTTGATTGAGGTTCAGTTTTTTCTCTTTAGTAGCCTAAGGTCTAGCCATAGGACTTTCCTATTGACTATTCCTATTGACTATTCTTAGAGTATTGACTATTCTTAGAGAACTAGACAAGGAGCCCTCACCATTAGAAATTTTAAACTCTTCTCTACTCAACTTGAAGTTCCACATATTGGTCCTGATCTCTAGTACTTAGTAGGTGGGGTCGCTATGGGGGAAACTCAAGATGAGTTACCCTTAGGACTGTTGGACTGTAAGCGCCAGTCCTGGGCGCTGAGGTGCCTTAGCTCATTTTTTAAATCTTCTTCATTTT